ATGCATGCCAGTGCTGTGTGAGGTAATTTAAGGTGGTTCTGACAAGTGTCGTTGGCATCTTCATATCCGGTCACATGGGCGGCAAGCCACTCCCATCTGGTCACATGGGCAGCAAGCCACTCCCACAAAGGAGGCCACACCCACAGAGTAGGTTCGAACAATTTTTTGAAACCTACCACTGGATTGCTACTATTGTGCCCACCTACCATATCTCTTTGCTGCATGGCAGATCCGGGTGGATTGGGGGAGTGGGGTGGAGGCAGGGAAGAGAAACAATCTCCTCATCATTAGTCCTGCCCTGACATGGGAGGGGTAGAGAAAAGTGGATTTGAGATTGAGAAAAGCCTTACCCTTTAGGAAGATCGGGCCCCCATGTGTCACATTTTTGCCCTTCCCACCAAAAAACAGAGTGCAGAGTGCTCCTGGGGACCAGGGAGGGCAAAAACTTTTTAAAAAAATTTACCTCTTCAAAATCTTGGTGCGTCTTATACTCTGGTGCACCTTTAACACTCTGAAAAATACGGTAATAATTCTTTTCAGACGTCTGCAAGAGTCACACTGCAATATATGACCCACAAGCAATACCTACAGCTCTACAATAAGTTCAACCACACTAAGACACACTCTTTAGTAGGATGGGACACAGTGATATTTGCAACCCAAAGAAATAAAACCACCATTGCTTTAAGCCGGTAACACATCCAAATGTCAACAACCAAAGATAACTCCTGTCCCGATTCATATCAGCAGGGGCTGTCAGAGAGAAAAGACATTCTTCAGCAGATCCAAGAAATAAGGTCAGCCAAACCATCTCTTGACAACATTGGACACAATCCCCTCTTCGGTTTCCAACTGTTTCCCACATTTTCCCGTATGTAAATATCCCCGTGTGTGATATTAAGTTACAGCATGTTTAGAGTACAGTGCAATGAGCCAAGAAAAAAAAATATATTCCCAGAAGACCTCATTCAAAACAGAAATGCTTTACTGAACAACTGGAGGGTGTGGTAGCTTATGTATAGGGTTTTTTTTTTAAAAAAAAAATCAGATTTTCTTCTTTCTGGAAAAAAATTCTTTCGAAATTCTCCTAGGTTCCGAATTGGTCATCAGGGGAAAAAAAGATTACTGTGGAAGAAAAATGTGTAAAAGCTTCTGGGGTTTTAAGAGTTAGTCTTTTTTTGTACAGTTGCTAGCTGTGGACCTGAGGAATTGTAGAGCAGGAGATGTGCTGTGTTGCCTCTCCTAGCAAAATTTGTAGAAATTTGTAGAAATTTGCTAAGGGTCTTCATTTCTTGAGATAAAAAGTACTTGAATTTAGTGTGTATTGATGACCTTGGCATGTAGGCATGGAATTCTGACTCATGTTCTTTCACCCGATGACATACAATTAAAAACAGATATTGTGAATGCTGATTTCCCTGCAGGGAAGTCATATAGAATGTGATTCAAAGCCCTGGGATTCTGAAATTTTGAAATTTTGAACCCTGAGGTCTATTCTTTGTTCCAAGAAAGAATGAATGAAAGAAAGAAAGAGGGAGAGGAGAGAGAGGGAGAAAATGAAGGAAGAGAGAAAGAGAAATAAAGAGAGAGGGAGGGAGAGAAAGAAAGAGAGGGGGGGGAAGAGCACAGGAAGGAAGGAGGGAGGGAGGGTGGAAGGAAGGAAGGACGGATGGAAGGAAAGGAGGAAAGAAGGAAGGAACCTTGGCCAAGAATCTCTAATCATAAATTAGCTTCCATGCATCTCTTGTTCACTTCTGGAAACAATTCAAAGCAAAAATATCCATACGGAAGGTTTTATACTCTGCTTTATCTATTTTACCTGCTGGCGGCCATGCCTTGATGTATCCAGTGCAGTGTACCACAGCATATTGCGCCTCTCCTTCCTTCACTGGGCCCAGGCCGTTTCTAAACAGAAAGCAGAGTAAAGAAATAACCACGTTTGTTCTTCAATCAAGACAATCCTTCAAATGTATTACCACCACTCTCTGAATCCTCTTTTCATAGTTCAATCAGAGTGACTCCCTTTGAAGCAGAGACGGTTCCTATTTGGCCCAAGGTCTAAACTCAGGCGCTTCCTTACATCAACAAGAAGCCATGGAAAGAGATGATAGAAGAAACCAGCTGAGTCACATACCGTGTAAAGCCGCAATTTATTTCTTGTGTAAGATAATTTGGAAGTCAGTGTTAACTTTAAAAAATAAAATATTTCCAATAAATGGATGTCGTTTTTCAAATCTTGTAGCAGAACAAAACATTTGGGATATGAAATTTGCAAATGAATATCTGTGGAAAGAACCAACTGAAAGGAACAGCCACCAAATTTGTGGCAATATTTATATTCCCTTCTCTTCTTGGTCTTCTCTATTTGGAATATAGCTAAATATAAAGGTAAAGGTTCCCCTCACACACATGTGCTAGTCATTCCCGACTCTAGGGGGCGGTGCTCATCTCTGTTTCAAAGCCAAAGAGCCAGCGCTGTCTGAAGACATCTCTGTGGTTGTATGGCCAGCATGACTAAATGCCAAAGGCACATCGAATGCTGTTGCCTTCCCACCAAAGGTGGTTCCTATTTTTCTACTTGCACTTTTATGTGCTTTCGAACTGCTAGGTTGGCAGAAGCTGGGACAAATCATAGGAGCTCACTCCGTTATGCGGCGTTTAGGGATTCGAAGTGCTGACCTTTCTGATCGACAAGCTCAGCATCTTAGCCACTGAGCCACAGCGTCCCTTATAGCTAAATATACAAAACTATATATTTAAATGTAGCCTATAAATACACAGACATACTTAAACTCATGCACACCTGCAAATGCACGCAGGCGGCTATTCAGCAGGAATGTGCCCAAGCCACATATATTTCATTAAATTATATTCCCCATGAAAAGTAATTAACAGGAACAATGACAAATAATAAATCTTGTTTTGAGCACATTTTAAACCCTGCAATTTGAGAAAACAGATGCTCATCTCCAACACTAAGAATAATTGTGGTTTAGTCCTAATAACTTTGGTAAAAACACATTGGCAACATTGGCAAAAGGGTTTGGGTGAGCATAGAACGAATCGTTCTGTGCTCACCCCCAAACCCTTTTGCCAATGTTTTAATTTGATAGGTCTGTTCACTGCCACATTTGCAGAATTCCCACTGCCACATTTGCAGAATTAAACATAAACGCCTCCCCCATCACTGTGACAGCTCATCCCAAGGCCCACAAGAATGTGAATTGATATTTTTTTGAGACTTATCTCATCAACTCAAGCACTGCCTATTATAATAGGTCAACGTTTTTCTAAGGGTCTTGGACAACGGTCTAACCAACTAAGGGACAGAGAATGCCAAAGAAGGGACAGAAAACACCAACCTGTATCTTTTCCTCATGGTTGTTATCCTGTTCAGAGGTAAATGATCCAATGGAGCATTTCCACATCTAGAAATGAAACAGTATAAGTGTCAGGATTCCAAGTAACACCCCTAACGAAAGAAGATTGAGGTTCCTCAAAGTTCCATTTGATTAGAGATGTCATATTGGCACATCTGGGAAAACCCAAATCTGAAAGCTTCCAGGATTTCCCCACCCAAACGAAAGTTCAAGTCCCTGCCCAGCACCCACATGTCCATCCCATGGTCCAATCAGGCATCATCCTGACTAGAGATACCTCCCGGTCATACCCCTCCAGGTGCAGGACAAAATGTCATTGACNCAGGATTCATCTCCTCTAGGACTGACCGGTTTGATCATCTTGCAATCCAAGGGACTCACAGGAGTCTTCTCCAGCACCAGAATTCAAAGGCCTCAATTCTTTGGCGCTCAGCCTTCCTTATGGTCCAACTTTCACAGCCATCACATCACAAACTAGGAAAACCATAGGCTTGACTATACACACTTTTGTTGGCAGGGTTAACAATTCCAGAGCATGCAAATAGAAAAAAAAATCTTCATAGTCATAGTTTATACTAACAGCCTCAATGATACAAACCAGATACTCAGATACTGGAGGATCATTTTGAGTTCTGCAGTTTTCCGGGATCAACAGAGAACCTCCTAAGTTATCAGTTTCACCGCTCAATATGGGTTGTACCAAAAGCTCTCTCAAAGCAGACAGAATCCAAAGATTTGCTGTTTCCTCGGGACCTGATCTTAACAGCCATAATTCCATTAAATTGAACAAATTCAATTTCCCCAAGTTAACAATATTTCTTGTGTGCTGGGTCTACTGTTTATACAAGCGACTGCTGGGGATGCCTCTGTCTCTCCCTAAAAGTTATAGGTCCAAAATTAAGCTTCACTATGAATTATGCTAAAATTGAGGGCCTACATCACAGTCCACGATAAATAAATAAGATATATTTAAAAAGAGAACAAAATGGCAAATACTTATTTAACTGGTTTGAAAGGGAACTCATTTGTGCATAGCAAACCATGATGGATAAATTCATTTTTTTAAATACTGAGCTACTGACATGGTTTCTACCACCAAACATCAACTGGAAGACCTCCTACGGACCTAGATATTCCACACAATAGGATGAGTGAAAATGGCGGAGGCTGGTTAAGAATAGAAATGATAGAATAATAGAGTTCGAAGGAACCTTGGAGATCTTCTAGTCCAACCCCTTGCTTAGGCAGGAAACCTTATACCATTTCAGACAAATTGTTATCCAATTTCTTCTTAAAAACCTTCAGTGTTGGAGCATTCACAACTTCTGGAGGCAAGTTGTTCCACTGATTAATTGTCAGGAGATTTCTCCTTAGTTTAAGTTGTTTCTCTCCTTGATGAGTTTCTACCAAAGATGTCTCTGTGGCCATGTAGCCAGCATGACTAAACGCCGAAGGCGCATGGAACACTGTTACCTGCCCACCAAAGGTGGTTCCTATTTTTCCACTTGCATTCTTACATGCTTTCGAACTGCTAGGTTGGCAGAAGCTGGGACAAGTAACGGGAGCTCACTCCATTATGCGGCGCTAGGGATTTGAACCACTGAACTGCCGACCTTCTGATCGACAAGCTCAGTGTCTTAGCCACTGAGCCAATTTCCCATGATTCCCTGCAAGGCACCCAGTTGAGAAAGGCCAGCATGAATAATAAGCTTCTAAGATGGAAAAGAGCCATTCATGTAATTATTTGTCACTGTTGAGATAAGCAAATGTTCTTACGCTTCTGTGGAACCTTTCCAGTCAATTATTTTGTTGATTCTTTCACGATGGAGTTGAAATGTATTTATTTTTCATGACCCTTACGAGACAACTGAAAATGCCAAGGAAGAATTCACTCTCCCCACCCACCTTCTACATTTTTTCCATTGTTGAAGGGTACAGAGCGGCCATAAGAAGCCAATTAGGCTAAGCCATAATTCAAAAGGCTCCTAAAAGGCCCAAAGAATGCAGGGTGTGCTACATCCTTACACGCATTCAACAAATACGCATGCACACACATTGCTTAAAGGCCTTGGCTCCGTTGACATTCTTTTCACTATATTCACTACTACATCTGATGAAGCTCATCACTCAGACCTCTTGGGAGAAATCCCTTAAAACAAACATACGCACAATTAAAATGTAAACGTTCGTTTTCCAGAAATGTTTGAAATACTTCGAAGTTTGTTTTTTTTTTAAAAAAAATGCGCTACTTCTTTCTTTCTTTCGGAAAGATGGGGAAACGCTTTAGAAAGCAGCTGTTTGCCATTATGTATGGTCCATCTCTGAGTCTAAAAAAACCCAAAACAACCCACAGGAAAACAAAAATATGGCTGTGCCATGGTTATGTCCTGGCAACCAACTTTCCCCGTTTTTCTAAGAAGGAATTGCAAGCAGTGTCCAACGGATGAGCAAAGTTGAGCAAAGTTTTCTGCTGCTAAGGGAGAAATAGTGGTGAGTTTTGCCTTGTTTTATGACTTTTTCGGCTACAGTTGTTAAATGAATCACTGTAGTCAGTAAAATTAGTAAGATGTGAAAGTAATTTCCGGATGGACTTTGCTTTTCGAAAGGTTGCAAAAGGTGACCCACTGCAACCGTCACAAGTGTGAGTGATTTGCCAGACATCTGAATTTTGACCAGGCGACCACAGGGATGCTGCAGTGGTTATAAGTGTGAAAAATAGCAATAGCAATAACACTTAGACTTATATACTGCTTTACAGCCCTCTCTAAGAGGTTTACAGAGACAGCCTGTTTCCCGCAACAATCTGGGTCCTCATTTTACCCACCTCGGAAGGATGGAAGGAAGGCTGAGTCAACCTTGAGCCTGGTGAGATTCGAACTGCCAAATTGCAGGCAGCCGGCAGGAAGCAGAGACATATTTCTACACTGCTTGCTTCCTTGATTTCTTACCATTGTATGGGGCTTGACAGCTGATTTCTGGGAATAATACTTAGCAACATCAATAACACTTAGACTTATATACCGCTTCATAGTGCTTTGCAGCTGTCTCTAAGCGGTTTATAGAGTCAGCAAAATATCCCCAACAATCTGGCTCCTCATTTTACCAACCTCAGAAGAATGGAAGACTTGAGTTTAACCTTGAGCCAGTAAGAATCGAACTGCTGGCAGTCTGCAGAATTAGCCTGCAGTACTGCACTCTAACTATTGCACCACCACAGCTCCTGGTCATAAGTCACTTTTTTCAGTGCTGTTGTAACTTTGAACAGTCACTAAATGAACTGTTATAAGTCGAGGACCACCTGTATATGTAGCGACGCATGGCTATGATATTGAACTCCTAATGTAACCTACCGATTCCATGCTTTCTAGCTCTTCCAAGCAGCCTTTTAAAAAAAAAAAGTAAATAAAGAGAAAGTCTAAAATTTAATGCTTAAATAACCTCTTCAAGGGAAAGTTAGGAGTTGGCAAGTGAAGGACCTGGGAACCTATCCCTTCTCAAAAAGGACTTCACAAAATTAAATTACCGTAATGCAATTTCAAACATTTGCAATTCAGAAGATTTCTAAGATAACAGAAAACTAGGCCATCTCTCAAAAGACATTGTGAACAGTTGGGAATTTTTCACAAGATTATGGGGTTTTCATACAAGATATTTTGGTCATGAAAGGTGAGGGAAGAATTTAACAATTCTTCCCAATTTAGCAATAGCCCTTCAACTTATATACCGCTTCACAGGGCTTTACAGCCCTCTCTAAGCAGTTTACAGAGTCAACATTTCAGCCTCAACAATCTGGGTCCTCATTTTATTGACCTTGCAATGATGGAAGGCTGAGTCAACCTTGAACTAGCAAGAATCGAACTGCTGGCAGTCAGCAGAATTAGCCTGCAATACTGCAGTCGAACCACTGTGCCACTGTGGCACTTTTCTGCATTCTGCATCTGTAATAGTCCAGTTGTAAATACTTATGATATAACCACATTTGGAAAGATTGACTCAACTTTGCACTTGCTGACATATTCACATTCTGTAACAAGCAGTGGCCACAAAAGCTTAAAAACTCCCACCTCATTCTAAATGGTAACCTCAGCAAAATTCTCTTCCGAATGAAGGCGGAGATACATGCCCCAGGATAATGTTGCAAGATCCAATCTGGGTGGGTCACCGGAACCAGAGTTCTTGTCTTCCGATCTTTCGGATTCGTGCTGGAGCCCATCCTCAACAAATTTCTCACTAGCAGAGTGTGTGCTCTGAGCTATTCTGTGTGTGATATGTCAACTTGCAAAGCATCCTTGGTCTGCTCTCGAGTTGCCATAGGCAAGGGGGATGGGGAACTGATGACGCAGCATGGCAGCCACAAATAGAAGCACATTCCAGGCACATCTTTCTAAAGGCTGTCTCCCAGGATACCCACAGCCGCCGGAGGGGCATGATCTCTACAGCCAGCAAAAGTGCTCCATTGGAGAATGTGATTTATAACACACCCTGGTGGGAGGGGGGAAACAGGGTCATAATTGGGTTGTAAATTATGTGGGGTCAGGGTTGGCTTCCCTTGAGTATGTGCCGACATGTTGCTCCTAATAAATAACTGGATTTCTTTTGATGCTTGGCTCGAGACTCATAGCTTTAATTAGGGCATCTGTCAGAATCCGGACATGGTATTTATATGGTGCCTGGTTGTGTGTGGCTTATAGCTGGCCACTAATATTCCAATCAACAACTAAAAACCCACACACAACCAGGTACCACATAAATAATGCATGTGCTTTGGACATAGAATAGCCCCAAGCACACATTCAGAATGAATCTGAAAGCTTGGAAAACTAGACCTATAGCCCTATTCTGCAAAATCCTCTTTCTTCCCTGAACACAACATACCCTATTTTTCGGAGTATAAGACGCACCCTTTTACTCCAAAAAAGAAGGTGAAAATCTGGGTGCGTCTTATACTCTGAATGTAGCTGCCTGGGTCGACTGGAAAAGGGGCAGGTGAAGCGGGTGCTGCAGAGATCATGATGGCTGGAAAGGAGAGAGGTTTTGCTTTTGGGGCT